TGGACATATTTGTCTTTTTGTCAATAAAAGGTGGCATTAATGTAAAAGTGAAGGGGAAAGTGGCATGCTTGTAAAAGTGTCTTTAAAGTGTGACAATTTTGCAATTGGCCCAAATTTTTAAAATTACAAAAATTTAATAGTATCTATAAGTTAATTGAAAATGTAATATATATAGAGTTCCAAAATTATATATTTTCAAACCATTAAATTTGTTAGACAAAAATAAACCAAGTTTTTAAAATGTTGGTAAACAAATATAATTTGAATAAATTTGAATAATTTAGAATAAAATACATAAACAACATATATTATACTTTTTCGGAGAATATTTTTATTTGTGCATTTCGTACTATCCTAACATTAACTAGTGAATTTTAAATATAATTTAATTTTGAAATTCAAAATTAGAAGTATAATCTTACTTCTATCTTCATTATAATCGTTGTTTTAAAAATATATATTACTTTTAGATTTGTTTTGAAATTTTGTATTATTATAAATTTTGGTAATTCAAAAAATTAATTTCATTCCCAAAATTAAAATTGTCAATATAATTAAATATTTATATTAACCTTCAAATTACGTATTTTCGTAATTTTTTTTTTGAATTATTATGTTGTTTTTGAATTTTGTAATTTTAGAAACTTGGGATTTTACAAATTTAATTATTATTTTTTCCTTATATTTTTGAAATTTTATTGATTTTCTTTCAATTTTTTAAATTTTTTAAGTTTTAAATTTTTGGATTATTTATTTTTTTTTATGAAAATAATTAGAAATTGATCCCCAAATTGATAAATATTGATAAAAAAACACTAATTTGTAGTTTTTAACATGTTTACATATATTTGGTGTATGTCACCATGTATTATATAATAGTTTCTGTTGTTTAGAATATATTTCTATCCTTGAGATGATTTGCAACATATTAGTCAATACTTGATGTAGTTAAGAATGATTTTTTCTTATTAATACTCCATAGGATTGCGTCTTAAGAAAAACATACAAATGTGTAATTAAGGTAAATATGAAGAAGAAAAATTCATTAAAAATCTCTGAAAAAATGCTCCTACAGTTGTATCTCGGAAAAAAGTAAATCCATGTTTTGCTTTGAAAACAAAAATTGGTTGAGAAAAAGTAGTCGTACGGCAGAAGAAGACCAAAACGCAAATATGTTGTAACAAAAAGCATTGTGAGTGTCTTTAACAAAAAAATTTGACCCTCTCTATTAGTTAGGAGATATGGTAGTATTCATATACTTACATGTCCGCGTTCGGATAATGGGTTCTGCGTCCTTGGTTGGATGAGGTTTGAACTTCCGAGCCTGATTTGGTACGAAGCACTTGACTGCTTTTTACCTAACTTTTTTGTCTCTTTATGCCACTTTTCCAAGAATACAATTTTGCGTAACTGGACCTAATCGTCCCGTATCATTGGTAGAATCTGATACCGCTGGTCTAACACTAGGGCGCTCTCTCAGAACCATTTCCTATGTTCTTTAATCATCCTTCAAGCATGGATTTCATGTTTTTTACCCTAGCACGTTTTTATACTTTTACCGAAGAGTCAAACGAGGGCATTTGAAATTATTTGAACTTACCGCCTAAGAAATATATTCACACCTAGCCCAAGTTCCAAATTCAAAAACTCGTGTTCTGTGTTTAGTCTTCAGATGTTGATAAGAGATACATGTTTATCATCTCGGATAACAAAATGTGATGCATGGGGAGGGGATCAGCCTCATGAGGCCTTACCCATCATGCTATTAGGGCTATTCACTACAAGAAAACACAGTTTTAGCGACGGTAAATTCGATACTAAATCGACGCTAAAGTCCTTTAGCATCGACTTAGCGTCGAATGACATTCGATGCTAAACTGTCGACGCTAAACCGACTTCGACGCTAATTCGACACTAATTTAGCGTCGGATTACTTTCAACGCTAACTCGATGCTACATGTCGATGCTAATTCGATGCTAAAATGACGTTATATTAGCGTCGATTTAGCATCGACGTAAGACGGATCCGATGCTAAATCGACGCTAAAACGATGCTATATTTCGATGCTATTTCGATGATTAGCATCGAAATAGCATCGATTGTTTTCGACGCTAATATAACGTCGATTTAGCATCGGATCCGTCTTATGTCTATGCTAAATCGACTCTAATATAACGTCATTTTAGCATCGAATTAACATCGAATTATATGATTTTTTTTTTAAATATTTGTAAATGAAAATATTTTTAATAAATTTCAAATTTTTTAAAAAATTAGAAAATTTTATATATAAATGCGAAAATAAAAACAGAAATTGTTTAAAAACACTAAAAATGCAAACAGAAATTATAATTTTAACGTTCGTCTCT